CACCAAAAATGATGCCTAAGCCTTCCCTATCTAACTGAGAATAATTTTTCTCAGCCTGGTTCAAAGATCTACTGGCAAAAGCAATGGGTCTGTCACCCTTCTCATCCATGTGGGACAAGACTGCTCCTACACCATCTGGTGAAGCATCACATGTCAATACAAGTCTTTTCCCTGGGTCATAGTGAGTTAGTAAGGTGTCAGAAGACAAAGCCTCTTTTGCTGTATTAAAAGCAGTATCTTGTTGTTTACCCCAGTGCCAAGTTGCATTTTTCTGTAGCAGCTTGTACAGTGGTGATAGTTTACCAGACAGATTTCCTATGAACTTTGTATAGTAATTTATCAAGCCCAAAAAAGCTCTTAGTTGTTGGGTATTTTCAGGTTTGGGTGCTTCTTTAATGGCTTTTGTTTTCTCAGGTTGAGGTCTGATACCTTGCTTGCTTAATATATAACCAAGAAAACTAATTTCTGTCAGCATGAATTGACATTTATCTTTGTTTATCTTTAAACCTTTTTCACCAACAATTTTTAATACTTTATCAAGTGTTTTAAGATGTTCAGTGTCATTCTTACCAGTTATGTACACATTGTCAAAGTACACACAAACATTTGGAATGTCCTTAAAAATACTGTCCATGACAGCTTGGAAAATTCCAGGGCTAGATGATATGCCAAAACATAGTCTTTCATATTGGTAGAGTCCTTTATGTGTGTTTATTGTCGTATAGACTTTTGAATCTGGATGCAGTTCTAGTTGAGTGTAAGCATGACTAAAGTCTAATTCAGTGAATTTGTCTCCTCCTGCCAAATTCAAAGAAATTTCCTCAATGTTAGGTATAGGGTACCTATTTAGCTCTATTTGCTTATTCAGTGTAGTTTTGTAGTCTCCACAAATTCTTATAGAACCATCCTTCTTTAACACTGGCACAATGGGTGTCGCCCAATCGGAATAGTCTACCTTCTTTATGATGCCATTAGATTCCAATCTACTTAGCTCATTTTCAATTTTATTCCTCATTGCATAAGGTGGAACTCTAGCTTTGCAGTATCTTGGATTTGTGTCTTTAATGCTTAACTTCACTGTTCTATCATTTAGTAATCCATGATTACCAAAAACACATTTATTTTCAGATATTACTTTATCTAGTGAAGTAAGACTAGATTCTTTTACATTCTTCAATGAACAAATACTCTCCCAATTTAACTTAAGATCACTTAACCAGTTCCTACCTAGTAATGGCGGTCCATTTCCTTCAACCACAAGAAGAGGAAGTTTAACACTTTGACCATTATAACTTACATGAACCATACACTCTCCTATTACCGGAACATTGTCACCAGTGTATGTTGTTAGACACTTGTGACATGGCTGTAGAGGCACTGATCCTCCTATGACAGCGTCAAAATCTTTCTTTGTTATGACTGTTAGAGATGCTCCAGTGTCAAGTTGGAAGCTGATGCTCTTACCGTTGATATTAACTTGTACATTGATGGGAGCATGACTCATTGATTTCACAGAGAACAGGCTGAAATCCGGCTGCAAATCAATTTGAGCATTTTCACAGGTAGAGTGGTTCATTGGTTGGGTTAGGTAGTCTTGGTGAGAGTTAACATAGTGCTGCTTTTGGTTGCGGTACTGTCTTGACTGGCTAGATTTAGCAACAGACGAAGACCTTGCGAAGCAGGCCTTGGCAATGTGACCTTGCTTACCGCACTTATAACAAGTTGCTAACTTGAACTTGCACCGATGAGATGCATGGGGACCCTTGCATCGATAACATTTTTGATAATTATTACTAGATTTAGATCTAGGATTTGAACGAGCAGGCTGTTTAGCATAAGTTGGAATGCTCTGATGGGGTTGATGTTTATTGACTAACCTGCTGTTTACTGCATGGATCCCTGAAGGCGTTAGAGATTTCGCCGCATCTGATGACTGCTGGATTGAAGTTGCAAGTTGTATTGCTTTTTCTAATGTTAGATCTGACTCGAGCAGCAACTTTCTTTGAATATCAGGGCTGTTTACACCTGTCACAAACTTTTCACATAATCTGTCAGACAGCGTGTCTCCGAATTCACAAAATCTACTTAAATGACGTAAAGCAGCAACATATTTTGATATTGACTCGTTTGGTTGACGAGTCCTACTGTCAAATCTAGCTCGACATAGAAACTTTGATGGGGTGGGCGCATGGTGGTCTGTTAGCAATTTGCTCAGCTCGTTAAAGCTCTTGGTAGTTAGACTGGCTGGTGCGCATAAGTCTTTTAGTAGCCTAAATTGTTGAGGCCCTATGACTGTTAACAAAACAGCTCTCTTTTTGGCTTCTATCGTCACGTCGTTAGCTTCTAGGTAAAAGCTTAACCTCTCTAGGTAGTCTTGAATGATTTCATCATTCGCATCAAATTCTTTTATTTGGCCATACAGCGCCATAATTCTAGAAATAATTAGCTAATAAGCTCTAGCAAACCTCTTTTTTGCGTAAGTAGGTGCTCTTTCTAGTAGATGTTTATCCTTCGTCGCCAGTTATAATAGATTGACGACAGAAGCCTGTGGTTGTATATAACAGCCTTTATTATGTACAGACGCCATGGTGCAAGGAGAGAGAGGAAGTGCAAGTGGCCAGAGGCCACTATATATAGATAACAACATGTAAGGGGACATCACTCAAGATAACAATATAAATATAATACTAATACAGAGAGTGAGTTCCCTTGACCTCACAATTATTTCAATCTATTACAAATATAAAATATAAAACACATTGTAAATACCTTTTTTATACCTAAAGAAAATATGTAACATGTTTTCCTGAAATTTTGCACTGTTTTAAGTAACTTAACTTCGTGATCCTCCATTAACGTCAATTCTCTCCTTTAGTATTAAAAGGGATTCAGGCTTTTTTTTTTTATTTTACGTGAAGGTGTGATCAGAAAGTCTGACGACACATTTTTGCTTTCATCCGTTATTTCGGGCTTTAAAATATTGCTTTTGGTATTAATTCATTGATTAACCCAATGCTAATTATCGAGGTCAGTACATATTATAGAAAAGAATCTATCAAACAAAAAATGCAGTTTCTGGGGGAGGGCGGATGGGGTTATGTGTTGAGGTGTGGTGTTTTTAAAGAGGGAGGGGGGGGGGGGGTGGGAAGATCTGGCTTTTTGTGAGAAGGGGGGTTGGGTGCAAAATCGTCTGAAGAGTGAGTCGTCGTTAATGAGTGACCGCTGACGTCACCATCATTGTGGGCGGTGGCTTTATGTGACGATTTGTAACGATGGGAAAGAGGGTTGAGTTAATGGCGTAGCGTTTATTTTGCATTTTTTAAGGATACAAATAATAAAAACATTGCTTATTTTCTTTTACATGTAGTGTGACGACATTGTGTTAATCAAATGTATTAAATAGTAGGACTTACAGATTATTAGTTCCCCCCCCCCCCCTACAATACCCACCCCGGAGTAATTACCCCCAGTCAATTACCCCCCGCCCTTGAGGAAATCCTCCCTCCCCCCCCCCCCCCCCCCCCCCCCCCCCACAGCTTTTAAAGTACAGCTAGGGTTAGGGTTAGAGTCAGAGTTATGGTTTAGGTTAGGGCTAGGGTTAGGGTAGCGTTAGGGCTATGGTTAGGGTTATGGCTACGGTTATGGTTTGGTCTATGATTAGGGTTAGCGCTAGGGTTAGAGTTATGGTTAGGGTTTGGGCTAGGGTTAGCGTTATAGCTAGGGTTAGGGTGAGGGCTAGGGCTAGAGTCAGCGTTAGGGCTAGAATTAGGGCTAGAGTTAGGGTCAGGGTTTGGGCTAGGGTAAGGGTTAGCGTTAAGGCTAAGGTTAGGGTTAGCGTTAGGGACGTTAATGTTATGGTTATGGCTAGGGTTAGATTTAGGGTTAGGATTAGAGTTAGTGTTATGGTCAAGGTTAGGCTAAAACCTATGGCTAGAGTTGTTTTTGGTCTTGTGTTAAGTTTTAGGCTGAGATGAATGTTTAGGGCTTGGTCATTTTTTATCGGTTAGGATTAAGGAAATATATAGGTGTAGAGTTTGAGTTAGGATCATAACTTGAGGCCGAGGGGGGTAATTCTCCGGGGGGGGGGGGGGGGGGGGGGGGTTATTGACAAGGGGGCGGGTAAATACGGGAGGGGTGGCGGTAATGTCCTGTAGCCAGGTCCACTATAAGAAAGCCAAGATTCCAAACTTTGTAGCCTTTTGTAGGTAATTGAAGCTCATGCAAGTTCTTGATAGCAACATCAAAGACAAGAGAAATAAGAAGAGCCATCGTTCTCGGCTTATTTAACAGGGAGGATAGAGCTTTTACCAACTTCTTGGAAGTCTTAGTCTAAATCAATCCATGATTATGTCTTTAAGACAATAAACCTTAACTTTGCATGAGATAACAATATCGTTGTCCTTCATTCGGTCAAAATCAACATTATGGCTTCACTGAACTTTGTCATTTAAGTGCATGTGTAGTTTGAAATGTGTGTCGGTTAAAATTGTACAGTTGATACCCAATATATCCAGCCTTTTTCTTCTTCGTTCAGCTGCTTTTCTTTCTGGATTTCTTTTCTTATCCTTTTTAAATCCAAGAACAAGTGTTGTATTCCCAAGATGGGTTGCTATCCCCAACTATATTATATGGCCAGTGTAGCAATTAGTAACATGAAAGTTGATTTGAATTCCATACTTCTCTAGTGTGAAGGTGTTTATTATTAATATTATCCTGTTTGTTTGATACTTTTCTTTAACTTAATAATATTAACCATAGGCACTTTTTGCCTGGAGTACAAACTGGACCCCAGTATTCTCTGGTAAACAATTAAGTTCTTGTCCAAATATGTGCTCAGCTAAGAGAAACAGCATTCCTAGATTGTTTTATTTTTAGTTTTTTGTTGTTGTTTTTTACAGAGCTTCAACTGTTTTAATGTCAAATGGTGCTAGGAATACTATACATACAACACTTTTCAACTTAACATCTTTTGTACACAGTGTAAGAAAACCAAATACATCAAATTTTGAGAAATAATTTATTTATCAAACCTAACAATTGCATATAAAGCCAAAAATGTATATATCAAGATTATTGCAATTATGGGCATTTGCAGATTCTTGTTTAACAATGGTAGATGGAAGTATTAGTTGCCTTTTACATCACTTTTCACTTCCTGAAATAAGACAAAATGATTTTCTTAAAAATTCATCTGAAATAATGACATCAGCAAAAAAAAAAAACCAAACATCTTTAGTTTAATAAATCAAAACAAAACAAGAAAAAAGTGATTGAATGAAATGAATCATGGCATAGATATCTATAAAATTGTAAGTTCTTGTAAGTGAAACATGAGCTAGAGAAATAAACTATTAGGCCTAATTTAAATAATGTAATTCCTTTCTCCCAAAAGACTACATGTATCCTTAAAAAAAGAGAGCCTTAAAATGTATCAATATTTACCTTGTGTATAAATTCTTCTGTACATCTACTGTATCAGCTTGACGCTCATTAAGTATGCCTAGTTCCTGTTGAGCAGTTAAGACAAATTAAGTAAATAATTCTAATGACATGGTCTTACTAGGTAAAATGTTTTTTTTTAAATACAATATTTATACAAATAAAAATCTATCTCAATCAACAAGTTCAAAATAAACCAAAGTAAACTTGTGATAACTTACCTGATTCAAGTTTGAGAGGATTCACCCAGTTCTGACCACTGAAGCAGATTAGATGCTTTTATTATAATACTTGTGGTATACTGATTGCAATTTAGTTTTAGTCCTGGAGATCTATCATAATCTATGTTGTAGGCACAGACTGTTCAACATGGATAGTAATATTATAGAAGTAAATTATATCTAGTATAATATAAATATTTTAAAATATAAATGACACTAAATTATATTTATTATCATAGGAAATAAAAGTGGTACAATTAAGTAATTAAGTTATAAAAAAACAAATTATAAAATTTAAAGCAGCTTATTAATAATTGTCATACCATTTCATGCTTTTATGTCAAATGTATGAGGTAACAGAAAAAGAACATCTTGTGTCATTTAGTATGTTGTAGTCTTATTACTGGTAGAAATCTGATCTTCATTTTTTTGAATGAACCTGTATAAGAGAAATTACAACATGGATAAACACAATGAATTTCATATCTAATCCTCAAGTAGTTATGAACCCAATCCTAACCTTACTTTTTTAAAACCAATTTCTAAATATCTTTTTGGAACAAATTTATGTTAATATTTTAATGTTCAGATTATTAATAGTTATCAAAACTATCTCCAGTTGAAATTCAAGATACCTTTATAAAAAGTTATTTTGACTTTAACTGTGTGTAGTTGTTATATTTAGGCTATTTGTTTATATTATTTATATTAATATTTCATGCCTTGTTTTAAAAAGACCTAATCTAATTTTGATTTTATGGTACAATCTGATAAAAAATAAGAAGCTGCTACATCTGAAAATCATTACAAACTATAACTAAGGTCAATGCACAGACTTCCAAATTAATGATAAGTAGGCCTGTATAGATACTAGATCTATATATAATTACTAGCCCAATAATATTACTCTACGACCTATGTTTAGGACTTAAGGGATCAGACCTAATTCCCCTAATTAGTTCTAATTAGGCTATTAAATAATTAATAGATCTAACAGTATTGGATAATTACAAGTATGGACCTTAGCGTTAGCGGGCATAGAGAGCTGAATACTTAACTAAACATAACTTTAAAAAATTATGGTAAGCTAAGTGAGTTGAACTATTTTATTTAGTAATATTTAGATAGGCCTAGCATAAATATACTCTAAAGTAATAGCCGCAGAGTAGCGTATAGCATAAAATTTTTTAATTAAATCTATAAGCAACATTAAGCCTCTGCCTTGTTGCCTAATTAAAAACTAAAGCCTAATAACTTTGTAATAAGCCTTTCCTAATAATTTAAAATTAGGCCTTTGGCCTAATTTAAATAATTTAGCCTATAGGCCTATAATATATAAATAGGCTAAACTACTTGTAAGACCTAATAGATTAATGACTAAGAGAGTGCGGCCTCTATCCGATATTATATAATACGAGCCGGCCCGCGGCATAACATACGCCGCTATTTAGTTGTTTCTAATTTTCAATAATTCATAATTTGTGAATTCGACAGTACCAACGCTGACACTGAAAATATTTCTTTAAAACACTATAAGTAGCTCGTTAAGGACCATAACCCCCCCCCCACCCCTTCCTTCCCTCCCCCCCCCCCTCCTCCCCCCCCCCCCCCTACGTTTAAAATCGTTGGCTCTGCTTGTAAACATTTAGAGTGAACACAGCTCACTAAAACCATGTAGGGGTGGGGAGGTAGGGAGAGCGTTTGCAGCTTGTTTTCTAACGGCTCGAAGAAGAGAATTATATATATAGATAGATATGCTCAATCGATATCAAATTATCATAATAACTTACAATGATTACATTAATTTACATAAGGCCATAACATCGTAACTCTAATAACTCATACACTTTCTACTAATAAAATAGGCTTGGTCTAGTTTTAACTTAGGCCAAATTAGTAATTATAATTAAGTAGGCCATTTTTATGACTTTAGAATATTTTTAGTAGATGGCCGAGCCTTCAATTTAAATCGAAGTGACTACGCGTCTCGCTAAGCGTGGACCCTAAAAAATAGACTACGCGTCTCGCAGGTTTGATTTGCCATCTTATAATTGTGAACGTACTGGTAAGATTTTCATAAATAAACATATGTAAAGAAATCAGTTTTGAAGCTGACGTTTATCGTCTCTTAAATGCGTGGCTCGAACTTATATCTGTTTAATTTTTTACTTTTCAAACAAAAAGCCTTGACAGAAACAAGCAACGTTTTTATGATAATACGACATTGGTAAGCAGCTTAAAAATGCCATATATATCGCTATAAATATTAATTCGCGTTGAGAAGAAAAAAAAAACGCCTCACGTACATGTTTTAAACACCAATGTAAAAATATAATTATAAGGCCCCGCGCGGATGGTTGGCCCTAGGCCCCGCGTACCCTTAACGCCGGCTCTGACTATATCTAGACTCTTAGGTGTTGAAATAATATAAATACACTTAAACTCTAGACCTATGTCAACATTAAATTGTTACCACGAAAAAAAAAAATCGTTTTTTTTTAGATCGCGTGCCACCTAGGGTAAAGATTAAGCGTAACGCGGAGCGAACTGCGCAAAGGCGGCCTTACGCGTAACGCGGAGCGAACCGCGCAAATGCGGCCAATTTAAATACTAAAGTAGATTTAGCCTACTAGGCCTATTGTAGGTCTAATTAATAATTTATTTTTTTATTTAGAATTTCAGATCTCCTATTTATTATAATTGAGTCCCAATACATATATGTACATAGGCCTAAATAAATTATTTTTATTTTATTGAACCCTTAATGTATAAAATGTGATCTGTTTTTTTTTTAAATAAAAATAAGCCGATACAATACACGAATGACATTCTTGTTCATTGCTCATGATTCTCAGACTGAACTAATATCTAGTACTACTTTAGGTCTATTTAATTATTTATATTAGTAGGCTGAACAAAATCTAACAGCAATAATTTATTACTATATTGGCCAATATTATAGGCCTATTATTTTATAATTATTTTATGTTTTCTTTCAATACATAGTAGATCCAGTGGTATGTCAACATACGAGATTTTTAAAAATACGAGCAGGTGAGCGAGTAACATTTTGCTTTGAGTTACAAGCAAAATTTGAGATACCATATTCTGTGACTTCCACAGTTCCATGGAAAAGAAATACCTCAAAAAGATGCAAATGATTATTCATCGCAGCTATTTAATTTTATAATATGCGTCTTACTCATATTTGCACTATTATGAAAGGGAGAAAGAAATAAACTTCCTAAACAAGTTTTATTTTAAGCTACCAGCACATGAAAGTGACTTAAATAAAGCATGGCGAAAAAGAAGAGAAAAGCTGTCACGAAAGTTAGGTCTTTTAAGCGAACGTAATAATTTTATTTAGTATTTTTGGGCCTTAAGTCGTAAGTGCAACAATGCTCAGTGAATTTTAGCCATGTTCCATTAATTAAGTTTAAGAAATGTGTAGCTTTGTTAATTTTATACCTAAGCTTGAAGAGTTAAAACTCCATTTTCTTTATAGTTATTTAAATAGTAGTCTATAATTTATTTTCTACTTTTTAGTGCATTATTACATAAAAGCTTGTTATTAAAACGTTTTTTTATGAATTTTTTTTTATAGTTCCAGCTACCTTTTAAAAATGTTCACCACGAGCCATTTTGGCAGGTTTTCACGTTATAAAAACATGCTATAGGTGGCAAGTCTAAATATGCCAGAAAAGCATTTTCAAAAATTGCTTTTGAGAATGAAGGCTAAATTTAAAGTTGGTGTCATTCAAAATAATATAACTTTTTAAATATTGATTTCAATATCACAAAATTGATTTACATAATAAAGCATTATTAGTTTTATCAGTCTATAAAAAATAATTCAAATATCGTCAACCGTTTTTTTTATAAGATCGACCAAAAAATGACTACCAAATTATTTTTATTTTTTGACCACTTGACTGCTACTTGAATGGGTACGTTTACCTGGTATGGTTTGTTGATACAAGTAAGGTTGTATAACTCATTCAAATAGATGAACGTTTCTGGCATCAATTTTTCACCCAATTAGACTCTACGCTTCTTAGTTTTTTTTCTGGCAATTGGAATAAAATACAGTATAAATACCCAGAAATCAAATAATGCGCCCTTTTGTTCTTGGTGAAGTTCACTGGGAGAGCGTGTAGTGTTCATTTGTTATAATTAGTGAGCATCTAGATATCTAAATCTAGAAATCTAGATCTAGATTGGTTCTATTCGTATTATTATTAGGTAATTTTTAACTAATTTATTTAATTTATTAATTTTTATTAACATTTTTCATACGGGTAATGTAGTAATAAATGTATCGTTTTACTTTAGGTACGTAAAATCGTCCGCGACTAGATTCTAGATCTAGTAATGTGAAAAACAGGTGACTCCTTAAATTTTAATAATTATTTCACATGTTGAGGAGGATTTATGTTTAGAAAAATACAAAAATGTTTCCTTGTTTCATTTATGTACCTGTTTTTAAACAATTGAATTAAAACTTTTCAGTAATAAATGAAGACTAGAAATCTAGAATCTAGCAATCATGTTTACAACAGATGCAACCATGCTCATTTACTTATATTATAGAGTAAAGTTCCGGTAATCTATCGTTTTAGGTACGTAAAATCGCCCGCGACTAGTAATGTGAAAAATAGGTGACTCCTTACATTTTAATAATTATTTCACATTTTGAGGAGGATTTATGTTTTGAAAAATACAAAAATGTTTCCTTGTTTCATTTATGTACCTGTTTCTAAATAATTGAATTAAAACTTTTCAGTAATAAATGAACACCAGCGATGTTTCCAACAGATGCAACCATACTCATTTACTATAGCAGCCATCTTGTTAAAGTTTTATTTTTATAGACTTATAGCGCAAGATTCAGGCGGAAGTCACTCTATTTTACAAATGGCTGCTGTTTATATAGCAAATCTTGCTTGCAGACACTGCTGTTTAAAGTTAATTTCGGGCCTATATTGATATATTTAGCCATTGATTTAGGTTTATTATTCATTTATCTATAATATTTGACACAAACATATCACAATATACTTCTATTACAGCCTTGACAATGAGGTAACGTTTTCGTACATTAATAGCCGCGGGCGATTTTACGTACCCAAAATGATAGATTAC